AGTTGCCCCGAGTTCGTTTCCGGAGTGTCGACTAAAAGATCAAACGTGGGCGAATCCAAGCCCCTGGAAATGAACGAAGCCACCGCAACACACCGCACACCGTACGCGCGATGAAACCATTCAGATCGAGCCATCAGTGATTGGAGGTTCCGTGTAAATCTGCAGTGCACGACCTAGAGCTGCCGATCGATCAGCGTGTCGCCACTACAGGGAACTAGGGAAACCACACGTGGTAAAACCTTTGAGGCAAATGTAACTTGCCTATCTCACCTCCTGAGTGGGTTGGCCAAAAAAAGTCCCCAAGCTTTCCATTTACTACTCAACTGGTCTTACCAAAAAAGTTAAAGTCTGAAAGAAGCACTGGGCAATGAGAACCCGGATTTTTGTTTTCCCTTGGCTGATTTGGAGCGGGGGTGTCCCCTTTATTTAGGGATTGAACAACCGGTTTTTGCAAGATAAACGTATACCAAACCTCTTTTTTTAGGTAGAGGGTGACATCATACCATAAATAGAAAAACATAAGCTCTGGTGATATCCCGCAGCTTTTGCAGCCCTCGCAGAACCTTGTGGAACCCTGGTGGAACCCTTGTGGAACCCTGGTGGAACCCTGGTGGAACCCTGGTGGAACTCTGGTGGAAAGCTTTCAGCTGTGAAGGGAAAAGCCTGGTACAGGTAAATCGATCCATTGGCTCGTATTTGGGTATGGCTCAAAAAACCGGTACCAAAATATTTCCCAAAATGGCTTGCCCTGGTAAGTGGCAACATGGACCAAGACCTGCGCAACCCTGGCTCTTGAATTTCTCACTTCCTGAGGTGGGCTTTAACAACTTTTTGGTTTACGACCATAGTGGCAAATAGAAAGTGCCGGGGCTTTTTTTGGCCGGTCCACTTGGGAAGTGGTCGATTCGTTTGCGGCCGTTTCTGACGACGACTTCCGGCCCGCGGGGCTCTTCCGCCGCCTCGCGGAGGCGCGGAGCTCCGCGAGGGAGGCCCTGGAGTTGGCGGAAGGCGCCGAAGGCGCGGCGAAGGGGCGCGGAGTCCATGTGCTGAAAGGAATTTTCAGCAAATGTTGGTATGAAACGTAGGAAAAACAGGGGGTTAAATCTTCCCTTGTAGCTGAAGGATATTTTTTTCTTGCTTGCTACAAGTATTTCCCTTGTTGAGGTTTAAAGGGAATCGATTTCACTACTGGACATACTGTGGATGGACGAAATCCATTTCGCACCACCCAAGAAACTATGGGGATAGTGATTCCCCTGCAAATGCCACCAAACAATGGTTTCAACCACGGCTTCAAAGTGGTGCAGGATTTTGTCCATCCACAGCACCTGGTACCATGGTTATGGTTGTTGTTGGGAGACAGTTTTAACATTTTTGCTTATTGTGGTTTAGTGGGAATTCCAAATCCACTCAACTGCTATTTTTTATTGCTCCCTTCCAACGTCAACCAAGAAGTGGGGGTTGCTTCTGATGGAGGGGATTTACCATGGAAAACCCATGCCCCTGGTTCTACAAATGCCATAGAACACCGGGCATTTACAGTTACCAGAAAAAAAGGCAACCACTGCTATTGGTGTCCTTGTGGGAAAGTCAATGGGCGTCCCTGGTAGATAATTACTGTTGATCCCGTATGAGTTTCAACCAACCTGTTTAAATTCCCAGGGTGTGGTTTTTGGCTCCAAACGTGGTCTGATTTCCCACGCCCAGGGGGTGATTCATATGGGATCAAATTACCAGAAAATAGGGAGCCGATTCTTTCGATCGGAATTCTAGTTGCGCGGACATATTCCCAGACACTCAGTTTTCTCTTGATTTTCATTTGAACTCATGACAGCCGGACAGCCAGTACTTTTTTTGTTCCGCGTTTTTGTGTGTGGGAAACCCTCAACCAGCACAGAGCGCTGCCTATCTTATGAATGGAGCCGAACACCCACGATCTCCCACGGTCGGAAGGTTGGCTCCAAGATGGTTGTTGGGGCCAAAGAGGTTTGACCTCAAGGTGTCCCTTAGATGGGTGGTTTGGATTTGAACCAATGGCTTTCCGTAGAGGGTAAAATGGGACACCACGCCGTTTCACCACCAAACCGCCGATTCGGCTCCAAATTATCAACTGGGGGGAAGCTCACCCCTTACCCACCCAACCGCCGGGCTCTAAAGCATCAACTGGGGGGATAGCTGACAAAGAACGTCCACGCCTCAAGGTGCGATGTTTTTCCCGCCAAAAGGTCACGGATCTCCCTAAGATCGCCCGCAGAGCCACTGGGACTTCGGGACTTCGGCGTGGCAGGTCCATGGGATTTTTCTGATCCAGAACCCCTGAAACGGGACCCTGAGCATAGGTGCCCTTTTTGGTGGTTTTGCTCGAAACAAATCGATGGGTTTCGATTCCCGGTGAACCTGGTGGTTTAATCATCTACCAGGGAAACCCATCTATTTCCCCTACAAGGACACCTATGAGCCTGAGGGTTTACACATATCCTCCTTTTGAAGCAACCGGGGAGTGAGCGTTTAGGTTGGACACATGGCTTTTCCGAATCAAAGCAGTCAGGTCTGCTTGGCGACCCGACCTAAGGGCAGAGATACCCGGCAAAACGCCAAGCGCTTTTCCTTCGGCGCTCAGATGCACCAGTTCTGGGTGAAAGTGGCTGCCGCGTTCTGGGGGGCTGATTCAGCCAGGACATGGCTCGTCTGGGTTGGCTTGGGAAGCCAAAGGGAAACGGTGGACCAAGTCCTGCAGCACTTGGCTGTTTGTTGGCATTTGCCTTGGCGAATCGAAGCATTCCAGGGTTTCTTCGGTGGTGCGAAATGGATTTTGTCCATCCACAGAAATTGCTCATTTAACTTGAGAGGCGTAAGTGAGTCGCAGTCTTTGGCTAATCACCGACACCCCAACCTCGTCCACTGGGCGGTCGGGCGGGGCCTTTTGGTTGCCAAGCTCAAGATCCAGAAGTTTTCTCTCGAGGTGGCTCTCATGAGTCCTGGACCAACCAACAATCGAGCACGCGCTCCGTGTTGCTGGATATGCTCATTAGTGACACCCAATGTATTGCCGGTTGAGAAACGCGGGATCTGCATGATATGACCTCAATGGAAATGAGCGCAAAAGCCAGATGCTCAAAGCCACGCACGGTCAAGTCGTGGTTGTTGACCCAGGATTCACATGGGAAAGCCATGCCACGTGGTTCTACAAATGCCATCAAACACCACGGGGTTTATCAATTAATCCTTTGTGTTAACCTCATGACTTTGTAAAAATGCATTGATTTGATAGATTCGTTTGTTTGATTGATAGTATGGATGTTTAGAAATATATTTTGTAAATAAGTATGTCTGCGGGGTGTGGGGGGGTTCCACCCCCGCATGGATCCAAAGGCGCGCCGCTTCTCCCAGAGATCCTCGAGGCCCGGGACCATGGGCATCGCGGGAGGGGTCCTTGGCCCCCGAAAGCTCATGGGACGGAGCCGTTTTTGTTCGGTGGTTTCAAGGGAAAGCAAGAGGAGAAGCCACCCATGGTTTTGGGGAAACCCTCCAAAAAAAACCGACACATACAAAAGCTTCTTTTGGGGCATCGGGTTAAGTCCTGACCAAAAAGGGGGTCGGTATTGTCAGGGTTTCAATGTACATATATATATATATATACACATGTTATATATATATATATACACATACATGTATATACACATGTTGGACAACCTAGTTTCTGGTGGTAAACGCCAATCCCTTTTTCAGTAAAGGCTGACATACCCTGAAAAAGGTGGGTAAGTGAAGTCTTTTCACCCATGGTTCTTTTGAGAAAGTGGATAAGCCAAGTGGATGAAGGGTTTCATAGCTTTAACAGCCAAAGACCACTCCCCAGCAAAAAGCGCTTCGAGAACCAACCCAAATCATGTTCAACAGGGTTGACTTGGTGACCCTGCCCTGGCTACTTTCGGATTGGACAGAAAAGGGGCGGCTTCAAGAAGCAGCCATAACTCCATATGCCCCCTACTCAAAATACCCGCTTTTTCAGGGTATTTTGGGAAAACCTGGTTTTCCATGGTAAAATGCCTCCTTTTTTAGTAGAGGGTGGACACGATACCCTGAAAAAAGAGAGGGTATTTGGAGTAGGGGGCAAGGAAAACGGGGGGAACAAAAAAACGCTGATCGGCACTATGGATGAACAATCCATCAACTGGTGCCGCGGATTTTGTCCCGTTGACACCCTGTGCGTGCTTGGCTGCTTGAGGCTTAGTGGCCTTTTGGAAGTGGTTCCCCCACATATGGCAGATATATGAGGGATGCCGGGAGCCAGAATGAACTATAGGCGAAAAGGTCTACTTTGAGTGGCTTACGCTGGCCGCATTTGACTTACAATTGTGATTCCTTGGTCTGGGTGGTTTCCGTTTGGCCCTGGGGTCTCAATTGGGTATGGGTCAAAATGAAACCACCAGGGAACCGCAGGTGTTAGTTTTTGGTTTTATTTGTCAGGGTTTTATTTTGGGTACCTAGTTTTGATCCACACCCAATTAAATTTGCTCTTCCGAAGCCTGAAAGTGAGCGTTTTGGGGCGTTCTCGACATCACTCTGCCCTTCAAAACGTTCTCAAGATTACTTTTGCCCGAACACCACCATTTGCATTTGCCTGTGTCTTTCTTTGAGGATACCAAGCTGTTTTTTTTTATTCTCCTTTTTTATAAAGGAAAACCACCAGGACGCGCGGATGGGGCGACTTTGGGGCTCCAGGCAACCAGGCGGCGAACTCGGCGCGGTTTCTTGCGGCCGGCTGCACGCCTGCGCCGGACCGTTCCTTCCGTTTGCCGTTGAATTGAGTATTGTTTTATTCCCTCCAGTTGGTGTTGAAGGAACATATTTCTTGTATTTTTTCCTGGGCACTTAAGCATATGGAAGTGTGTGATTTCCTCCTGGACATATCTGGGGTAGACTTAGGATACATTTTACATTTTTCCAGTGACTCAAAGGGAAGCAAACAATAGAATATACATTCTATAACTGGGCCTAAGTCTAATCATTCTTTTTCCAGCGAAGAAGCAACTGGAGGTTGGCTTTGCCATGGTGATGCCTTGGTGTTCTCAGGTGAACAAAGCAAAGCACAGCCGACGAACAGGCCGCCATGACGCCGGAGTCAACGAAGAAGAGCGGAACTGGACATGTAAGTGTCGGCTCTGCCATGAAAGTGTCTGTGTGTTTCTTCGCTGTTACGTTGGCAAGTTTTTGTTCTTCTTTTTTCTGGGGGAGGGGGTTCTGCTGATATTTAGTCGGCTGGTGCGAGAAGCGGATTTCGCAACCATCCACAGTAGGTTGGACCCACCAAGTGGGTGGTTTTCCTTCTGGCTTTCCCCTTAAATTTCCAAAATGGTTGCACAGGTTTGCCGAGTGGCCGGAGCTGCCTTCTTGCTCTGCCGGACGCGCAAGCTACCGTCCGCGAAGTGGCGGTCGACGCGCAGCTCCAGCTGAAGCGCGGCCTGCTGAAGCTGACGTTTGGAGGGCGGCTGCTGGATCCCTCGTCTTCTCTGGGTGACCCGTTCCGATGCAAAAAGAAAGCTGGCAGTGGGTGGTCCCGTCTTTTGTTTTTTGGAAAGAGGTTTCCCTTGCTTCAAAAGAGGGGTGCCCTTGTGTGGCCTAGAAATCTCCGATTCTTCTCTGAGGGTGGTTTCCCTTACTTCAAAAGAGGGGTGCCCTTTTCTAGAAATTTGGGCTGAGGTGAGGTGGGTGTGCGAGACGGGGACATCCTTGAGGCGATCGTTGTTGCGCCAGTCGCGCCCGTGAAGATCGCTGCCAGCGGCAAAGCATTTGCCATCTCTGCTCGCGGCTGTGTGAAAACTTGGGGAGGCGACGGCTGGGGCGGAGACAGCAGCCAGGTGCAAGAGCAGTTGATGGGGGTCCAGCAGATCCAAGCCAGTCACGCTGCTTTTGCTGCCATCCTGGAAGACGGCTCGGTGGTGACCTGGGGCGATCATGATGATGGTGGTGACAGCCGCCAGGTGCAAGATCAATTGCAGCGGGTCCGGCAGATCCAAGCAGCCGGAAATGCTTTTGCTGCCATTCTGGAAGATGGCTCTGTGGTGACTTGGGGGAAGCGTGACTGGGGAGGTGACAGCGATCAGGTGCGAAGGCACTTGGTGCGGGTGCAGCAGATCCAAGCAACGCATCATGCTTTTGCAGCCATCCTGGAAGACGGCTCTGTGGTGACTTGGGGCGATCCTGACAGTGGCAGCGACAGCAGCGAGGTGCGAGGGCAATTAGCGCGGATCCAGCAGATCCAAGCATCGCATTATGCTTTTGCAGCCATTCGGGAAGACGGCTCTGTGGTGACTTGGGGCGATAGTAAGCATGGTGGTGACAGCAGCCGAGTGCGTGAGCAGTTGTTGCGAGTGCAGCAGATCCAAGCAACACAGTGTGCTTTTGCTGCCATCCGGGAGGACGGCTCTGTAGTGGCTTGGGGTCTTCCGGACCGTGGCGGCGACTGCATCCATGTGCAAGATCAATTGGTGCGAGTCCGGCAGATCCAAGCAACTGAGCGTGCTTTTGCAGCCATTCGGGAAGACGGCTCTGTGGTGACTTGGGGCGAGAGTAAGCATGGTGGTGACAGCAGCCGTGTGCGAGAGCAGTTGGTGCGCGTGCAGCAGATCCAAGCAAGTCAGGCTGCTTTTGCTGCCATCCGGGAGGATGGCTCTGTTGTGACTTGGGGCATGCCTCATGTTGGTGGTGACAGCAGCAAGGTGCGAAAGCGGTTGGTGCGGGTCCAGAAGATCCAAGCAACCAGATATGCTTTTGCAGCCATCCTGGAGGACGGCTCTGTGGTGCCTTGGGGCTATGAGGACTCGGGCGGCTTTGCCAGCCGCCCGGTCAAGGACCAGTTGGTGGGGGTGCAGCATATTCAAGCGTCTTGGCATGCTTTTGCCGCCATCGGTGCGCACAGCGCTGTGGTGACTTGGGGCGAAGCTGAGAGTGGCGGCGACAGCAGCCAGCTGCGAGCTGCGAGCTGATTGGTCCTGATTTCCACCGCCCGAGTTTTTTCGGACGTCCAGCATTTTGGCAATACCAGCTGCCCTGCCTCGCCCTGCCTTGCCATCTGATTGCCATCTGATTGCCATCTGATTGCCATCTGATTGCCATCTGATTGCCATCTGATGGCCAAAGTCGATTCTGCACATTTCGACCCTGGGCGCTTTCAATTGGCGAACGTTGATATGGCCATGGGTCAGAATCCCGTACCCCTCACTAAACATCCCAATCCACACTGAAATCGACTAAAATGGGTGGGCAAGTTTTCTACCCACTTGGGTAGAGGTAGATCCGCTGCCAGGAGCTTCCAAACCGCGAAGCGGGGTTTGGGGTGTGTCGGAGCAGTGTCGCGTCTGATATTGCTCACTCCCTGAGCTCATGGAAACCATTTTAGTGGCAAACGCAAAGTGAACTTTTCGGGGGGGTGGCCGTTTGAGTCGCAAAGAATAGGTTTTGCTTTTTTTGGGGCCAGCCGCTCAGGAAGTGAGGCTATGCGTTTTTTTTGGCCTCGCAGGTGGATCTGAAAAGAAACCGACATCCGCACGACCTCCGCCTTGGGACCCCGAGGGACCTGAACCGGTGACACGCATTGCATGCCCCTGGATGCCTTGAACGTGTTGAGATATGTCGAACGGCGATGCCCGTTTGGCTCAAGAACCAATGCCCATCAAAAAGCCGCGACGCTCCAAGAGACCCGACCTCCCAAAAAGTGGGCCCCTCTTAATGTTTCCGAATTCACTTTTCCATCCTCCCTCCAGAAGAGGCCCTCCCCCCGCAGCCTGAAGCGCCTCGTTCAGGGTCAGCGCTCACTTACCGGACTGGGGTTAATAAGGGTCCCGGTTTCTGGTTCGCGGTGTTTCTTTCCCTGTTGAGTGGTTATCAGCCGTAACTGCTTTTTGGGATGAAGCCCCCTCGGCCGAGGTCCACCACGGAAGCTGAGGTATCAAGAGGGTCTCTTTTCCTTGACTCTGTGGGAACGTTTGCTTGGATGCGCGGTTGAGTTGGTGCTACACGAAGATAACCAAGCCACTATCCTGGTTGCTAAGAAAGGTTACTCGCCAAAAATGCGGCACATACAGCGCACTCATAAAGTGAACTTGTCCACACTTGCAGAGCAACTTGAACCTGGCACAGGTGTAGTGATCAAGTACGTAGCAACCGATCTTCAGGCAGCCGACATCTTCAGAAAAGCACTACAACCCTTGAAGTACGCTCTCAAGTTATTGGGCATCAGGACAAATTTGCCCGAAAAGTTGAAGGATGTCCGGCCTGAGATGACAATAAGATAAGTGCAGAAATCTAGCGTAAGCCCTCCCAATGGTCTGGTAAAGGACCTTTCAATGCGTGGATCGCAGCTCAAGCGCGATTGTGCTACAAGTGTCCTCTTAGTGTTGACGGGGAGGGGGGAGTTGAGAATTCACGACCCCTAGGCCCCCAAAGGCGTACCCAGTGGCATGCATTGCATGAGGCCCTTGATGCCTGCTTGAACATGTTGATATGTCGAACGGCAATGCCCGTTTGGCTCAAGAACCAATGAAAAAGACAGGGTCAGCGCTCACTTACCGGACTGGAGTTAATAAGGGTCCCGGTTTCTGGTTCGCTGTGTTCCTTTCCCTGCTTTGGCCCTTTTTTGGCAACCATTTTTCTCGTCCCGAACAAGCACTGGTGTTTTGGTCTTAAGAGCACCAATAAAGCAACGCTATGGAGTTTCATGGCGGGGGAGGCAGCCGAAATAAGCTCTTAAGCTCTTAGCTTGGCCTTGATCAGCGCGCCCCCCCCCCCAATTTTCTCGTGACTCTACAACTCAGCCCATAGAAAGGTCAAGCCACCCACAGAAACTCCTCTTTCTTGGGTCCAACCTGGCTTTTTTGGGGTTGGCCCTTTCTCCTGCGCTCCCGGCGGAGCAGGGGTCCCAGGCGAGAGATGGCAAGAGTGAGCCGCCGCGGGTTGTGTCTGTTCCCCAGAATGAGTTCCCCCTTTACTTTTTTGCTTTTTTGGGGTCCCCATTGTTTTCCACTAACCAAGCAAGAAAATATTTGTTTGCTGGGGTCCGAGATGAGTTGGATCCGCGGTTGTGTGCATTGGAGGGTCATGAGGGAGGGGGGGTATCAGGGGCTGAAGAATTGCAAACATCATTGTTGCATGATCATGAGCATAGGTGTCCTTTTTGGTTGTTTTGCTCGAAAAGATATCACCCTGGTGCATCTATTTCCCCTAAAAGGAGGCAACGCCCCCACAACCCAATTCTAGTTCGTGGGCCAGCAACACCAGGGTTGGGATGTGCGGAGTCTGAATATGTGGAAGAGAGGACAGCAAAAGAGCGCAGAGTTCAAATACACCTGATTCTTAAGGGAATCAGGATAACCCTGATTGACATGTTTCGTGTCTGTCTACTCGCTTTACGTCTGGCTTTCTAGCTCAAAAGTTGGGAACCCCCCGCACAACAAGTGGGGAGGGGGGGGGGGGGACTTGTTGTTCCGGGGGGGGGGGAAGGGTAATTTGCGCCCAATGTGGCGCGCGTCCTTCTGAGAGGAATGAAAGGAAAGGGAAAAATGAAATGGAAGGAACTGGAAAGGACATTTGCAATGATGAAGAAAATACGGATTATGAGAATGATAATGGCCGTGATGATGAAAATGATGATCATGATAATGATGATGATAATGATGATGAAACTGATTGCCAATAGTCAGAGCTTAGGCCATGCATCTGAGGCCTTTTGGAAAACATATTTGTCCTAATTATCCTAATTATCCTAAATATCCTAATTATCGTATTCAATTAGGATAAATTGGATAATTCAGATAACTAGGAGAAACAGGAACATAAAAAAAATCCAAAGGACCTCGGTCGAATTCCTACCTGGTTGATGAGAATGATGATAAACATGATGAGAATGAGGATGAAAATAAAGATGCAAATGATGATGATCAATGATGAGGATAATGATGATGCAAATGATGATGCAAATGATGATGCAAATGATGATCATGAAACATGATGATTAGAAATTATGATAAGCATGCGATCATGAACATGATGATGAACATAATGGTGAAAGCAATGATGAGTAATAATGATAAGCATGATGATGATGATGATGATGATGATGATGATGATGATGATGATGATGATGATGATGATGATGATGATGATGATGGTGACCATAATGATGAACATGATGACCATGATGATGAGAATGATGATAAGCATGACGATGAACATGATGATGATCAAAGATGGGGATAATGATGATGATAATGATGATGAACCTGATGATGAAAATGATGATGACGATAATGATGATGACCATGATGATCAGCATGATGATGAAAATGATTACCGTAATTAGCCAAAATTAGCCAAAACATTGGTTAATTCCGCAAATTATTTGCCCGAAATGCTGGAATTAGCCAAATTAGCGGAATTAGGGAATTAGCGGAATTAGCCAAAATTAACCAAACAAATCGACTAATTCCAGCAATTGGTTGCCGGAATTAGCGGAATTAACCGATTTGTTGGTTAATTTTGGCTATGTGTGTTAATTCCGCTAATGATTTGCCGGAATTACCGGAATTAACCAAATGAGCGGAAGTACCGAAAAAAAACTGTTTTCCAGGAATCGTCCAGAGGTGTAATTTAGGGAAATGGCCGTATTCTGGCCAACTGGCAAATAATTACCGGAATTCGCCGATTTTTTGGTGAAACTTGGCTAATTCCGTTCATTCCGCTAATTATGTGAAAGGGAGGTTCCGTCCACGGGGGTAATTCGCTTCGCTGATCCCCTTCGCTGTTCCCCTGCGCGAGGCTGATCCATGATGATGATGATGACGATGATGATGATGATGACCATGATGATGATGAGCATGATGATGAGCATCATGATGAAAATGATGATGTTGATAATGATGATAAAACAAATGAAGAAAATGATCATGACTCGGTCGACTTCCTACCCGGTTGAGCCTGCCAGTAGTTAGAGCTTAGGCCGTGCAACTCCGGTCTTTTGGAAAACAAGTTTCCTAATTATTCTAATTATCCTAAGTATCCTAATCTTCCTAATTAATGAGGATAATTGGGATAATTAGGATAATTAGATAAAGAGGATGATGAAGAGCACGATGAAAATGATGCTGACTCGGTCAACTTCCTACCCGGTTGAGCCTCCCAGTAGTCAGAGCTTAGGCCGTGCATCCGCGAGGTGCTTTGGAAAATATATTTTTCCTAATCATCCTAATTTTGTTACATATCCTAATTATCCTAATTAATTAGGCATCACCACCATTTTCATTTTCTTCCGCTAATTATTTGCCGGAATTACCCGAATTAGCCACATTAGCGGAATCAGCCAAAAAATGTTTTCTAGGAATCGTCCAAAAACAATTGTGAAATTAGCCGATATTCTGGCCAACATTGATTAATTGCGACAATTCCGGCGAAATTACCGGAAGTAGCAGATTTGTTTGTTACTTTTTGCTCATTCCGGTAATTCCGCTAATTTTGTGTAAGGAATGCTCCTGGAAAACATGTGTTGGCTAATTCTGCTAATTCTTCTAATTCCGGTAATTCCAGCAAATACTTTAATTAGCGCAGTTTGCGGAACTTGCCAAAATAAATAAACAAAAGCTAAGTCATTTGCCGGAGTTGCCGGAAGTCGACAAATACTATGTGTCGGAATTAGCGAACGAGCATTTTTCTTGTGATGTTGGCAAAACACATTGGGCATGAAATACCCTCTTACGGGGGGGGGGGGTTGAACAACAAGTTGGGGGGGGGGGGAGGGGTTGTTGTTGTTTTGGGGGGGGCGGGGGGTTCAACCCTTTCGTAGAACAAAGCAATCACATTTTCGGGCGGTCCTGAATTGAAACACCCCCACCTCTCTAGCATATCCACCGTATGAATCTGGAAGCTGGCGCCGAAAAGCGTCACATGGGTGTATCCCCACCCCTAAAAAATGGAATTTAAACATGGAATTGGGGGGAGGGGGTGACCCCGAGAATTGCATTTGTGGTTCCCTTTTCGACAAGATGAATAAAATTGGGGGATCCCCGGCCCCCCGCCCCCGAAGGGCAAGGGGGATAGGGGTGTCTTTGTTTAGGGCCACCCCAAAGTTTTCCTTTGGTTTTCTTGAAAACCACAAAAACACAGGATCTGTTGGTCGCAATTCGATCGGTAGATCCGAGATTGCTTCCAGTGCCTCCTTTTTTCATTTGTTTTTCTTGCTTTCTTTCTGCCTTGCTTGCTTGCTTTCTTGTATTTTTTTTGGTTGGTTGGTTGGTTGGTTGGTTGGTTGGTTTGTTTGTTTGTTTGTTTGTTTGTCTGCGTGTTTGGTGCTGTGATGGGTTTCCTTTGCACCCCAACTGCAGCTCCTCTCCCCGCTTCCCCGCA